CGGCCGGGGCCCCCAGCAGCCTCGTGCCGACGCCGTAGGCGCGCCGGGCCCCGCTGCCCGACGCTGCTTTCCCCAACCCCCGTCGCTCACAGCGAGAAAGGAAAAGGAAAAAGCAGCCGCCGGTGGGGGTAGTGAGGGCCCGAATCGGGCCTGACATCTACACCAGAGGAAGCCGAGGCCGGGCCGCGAGCCGGGCGCCCACTCGGGAGGGTGGGAGCGCTATCAGATCTGGGCGCTGCGGGCTGGCGCGCCTGTAACCCGAGCAGCGTAAATAGAGACACGTGGGTGCGGGCGGGCGAGCGCCCGGAGCCGCCGCTGCCGAAGGGCTATTTCGGGCAGCACCCGCCTGGAGGATGGGGGCGGGGAGCGCGGACGACCCCGACACTCGACACTCCGCCGGCCACCCCGCTTCAGCGGCTGGGAAGGGCTTCGGAGGAAATCCGGTAGAGAGGCTCACACTCAGATGATTTCGTCAGGACGTTTTCCCTCCAAAGAAACTTGAGGGGTGGGGGTAGACCCTTTTCCCTTAAATGGCATCCTTTGGCCCCCAGAAAGAAACTGTGCGGTTTGGGGGCGGGGACGCTTGGGTTTTAAACCACACGTTTAAGAACACCTCTGAGTTGCCGCCTTATCCCAATGGCTGGGGTGAGTATGGCTGGGAAGACGAGGGGGCCTGGCTGCTATGCAGGACAGGGCCCTGCTAATTTGAAGTGGGGGGGGGGCTGGCAGGGGAGGGGGCAGGGTGCACTCAAACCCCAGTAAAAGCTTGGCGATCGGGTTTCTTGTAAGGGAGGTCGCTGGGAAGACACAGCCATGAGTCTGAGGCACCCATGGACAGGCCCTGGTACACAAGCCGTTTCTTCCTGCCGGTTTTGGGGGCCCTTTTCTGGGCCCCTGAATTACAGCCCACTTCAGGCTTTCTACAGTTGTCTGCTCCGGAGCGGCCTGGGCTGGGGCGGGAGCCCAGGTGTTAGCTCTGTGCCTCTTTGCCGCGGTGCTGAGCTGCACGTGGTTGAGGCTGGCGGCCGGTGGTTACCACAGTTGGTGTGAGCTGGGCGGCCCTTCAGGCACCTAACAGGCTCAGGTTTTCCTCCCTTTGCCCACTGGCATTGCATCTGGCGGGCTGCATCTTGGGACCCTCCGCCCTGCTCCTAAGGCGGAGCTCCAGCTGCAGTGGGGGCAGCGGCCCTTCGAACCCCCACCTGTGAGCAGCTCGCTTGCTGACTGGAAGAGGTCCGTTTGGGTAGCAACATGTTTCAGCTGGCTTTTAATCAGTCGGGATTGAGCCCGGGTGGGACAGGCCAGCAAAAGGAGCGCCCACTAGCTTAAACTGCTAACACCTTTGCCACCCAGCCGCCTCCGAGAGTTGTAACAAAGAGCAGCCAGGGCAGCGTGTGCATCTTCCACGTTACCGTGTTATTTCTCTTACTCTCCTTTCTACTTTCTGGTCCTGGGTGGCTGGGCGTCTCTCAGAAATAATTGCTGGAAAGAGAATGAGAAAGATTTCCAGAGCTCTCAACCCCAGCCTGCCCCCCCCCAACGTTTAGAGCAGGTAGCTTGGAGTTAAACCTAATCCTCCGAGTCCCCCAGCAGCGACACTCTGAAGTCATGACTGCCATGCGCCCCAAGGTGATTCTCTTTCTCTCGGGGATGGGATTTGCGCCCTTAGGTGGTCAGACAAGCACAGACCTCCCAGGAGCCCTACCACGACAAGGCCCGAGAGCACGGCGATGACGGTAAGACCCCTGGCTCTGCCTGGCCCAGCTGTCCCTCCTGGCTGTTTGTGCTGCTGACCCATGTTTCGCTGTTGCATTATTTCTGTCTGGGCCCACGAAGCCAGCACCCTGCTGTGATAAGACTCTCTGTGCCCACACTCTTTAGTGGGAATGAGGACCCACTGGCTACCTTCCTGCTTGTCCTCAATGCAGATTTACATACTGGAAGAGCTGGCTCTGCCTGAGTGGGGGGGCCTTTGCATTTCAGGTGGCCTCCGGATTCTTGTGAAAGAGGAAATGTCTAATGAGCTGTACCCTTGCTCATTTTATCTAACCTCTAATGGGCTCAGAGCTTTCTCATCTTCCCGGCATGGTGACAGGACAGTCCACACTGATTTGTTTGCTAGCAGGAGCTGTTGCAGCCGATTTCCTTTGTAAAACTGCCATTGCTGGTTGCAGGGAGAAGGCAGGTGACCCCTGCTCTATGAAACAATCCACCTTGTAAAAATGCAAGACGTTAGTCTTAGCGTTAGGGACCGTGTACAGAGAACGTGCCGCTCGCTCGCGTGCTCTCCGCATTTCTGATTCTTGCTCAAAACTTTTTAAATGATCTGTTTTTAGATATCAGTCCTCTCAGGTCCTAGTATTGGTCGGATTTCCTTGTCAAACAGCCCGCGTGTCCGTTCTTTAATTACATACAGCTGGCCACCCCAGAACGGACTGTTCACACGTCCATCATGTCAGCTAGGACAGAAAGGAAGAGGACGATAATACCAAGCTGCCTTCTGGGCCACAAAGGAGTCACACAAGTCAAAGGCAAGAGACATATTCTGAACACACAGAGATGTCTTTGCCAGGGTGATGGAAGCGTAGCACATAAAATGAAGTCTTCTGCAGTTCATCCTGATGGTTTGGTTCTGGCCCATTCGTTAGAAACAGCGACATCTAGAAATTTTCTGTGATTAAAGCCCAGGTAGACCCTTTGCCTTTTCAGTAAGGCATAGCTTCACATCACTCATCGCAATATATCTGTGGGCGCAGAAGCAGAAGGAGGACCTCGTCTCTCTGTGCTCACAGCATTGAGCTTTCTGCGTGTGTTTCTTGTGTCAGTATCCTTAGTCCAGTTTTCACTATTAGAACAAATTGCATTACATGGGTAGCACTTACTTTTGTAAAAATACCAGTCAGTAGTGGAAGTAAATTGAACCACATGTTTTTAAAACATCTGGCTCACGGCTAAGCCATTTAAGAGAATAAATACTGTCAATCTACGAGAGCATAATAATCCACTTACAATATTTGGTAAACTAATCTTTTATGTATTAGCTTTTCTAATGAAAAATACAGTCATGTACAAAGGAAGTCCTCACTGCGGTTCTCTGGCTCCTCAGGAAAGCATCCAGATGGAGGGCTGTACACCAAGGGACCCTCCTACTCGAGTTATTCTGGCTACATAATGATGCCAAACATGAATAACGACCCGTACATGTCAAATGGATCTCTTTCTCCACCCATCCCGAGAACAGTGAGTAACATGCTGACGTTGCAGATTATTTTCCGACGTGCAAATTAATTTATATTTCGGCAAATGTTTGTTTGTTTTTTAAACATGTGGGAAATGCTTTCATTATATGACAGGTCGTTGCTATGTAAGAACTGCTGTGAGAAATGGCTGCCTTAAATGGTGCGACTTTTTGATGTCTTGCCCTGGGAATTTTAACTTTTGGTTTGTTGGTTAAGATTAATAAAAAACAGATCATGGGTTACCATGAAATCAAGTGAAGTTCAGTCAACAAATTCATGATTTTATGATCATGATGCTTGCTGTGCTGACAAGAGTAAAAAATGGATTTAACTTTCCATTAACTAAATGCTGCCCATAAGCTAACTACAGTGATCACTATCTTGGCTCATTTAGAGCTGAACGTTTGGAATACGACTGCAGCTTTTTAAAACTGCCTCCTTTATTGTTTTAGCTGCTGGTTCTTAAAGATCTGCTGGGAGAGGGAGGTGAACCCTTTTTACTACTGATGACTATTGCTGAGAAAATGCCTACTGAAGATAACCTAGCGAAAAGTGTTCCTTTTTGATCTTGTGCTTGTTCAGCTTCAGAAGTCCTAAAAATTCAGTGACGTTCTGATAGCATCATACCGATGCACTGGGAGACATTTCAGGTGTGTTTCACATGCTCGTCTCACTGGTTAGAGCAAGAAAACACCTATAGAGCCTATAGAGTGACTTGTTTAGTGATGTGCCAGGGCTCTCCTGAACAGTCACCCTCTCGGTCACGGGGAAGCGTTGTCAGTGTGTGTGTTGACATGTGTTCTTCCCAGCCTCTCTCCTTTCTGCCACCCAAACCCCAATTCCAAATATGTGGGTGGGGATTAGGGGTGAGGTGTCAGAGCTAACTAAGCCCTCAGATGAATGGAATCCAAGATGGTAATGGGCCTGTGGACTTGGCCTTGTTTCCACAGAGTGAAACTCACTGGGCACTGGCACCCCTGGGAACTGAATCTGGGAACCAGGAATTGGCCGGAGGTGCCGGGAAGGGGATAGGCCGTGCCGCTGAGGAGAGTGTTGTGTTTCTCTCGTGCTGTTGCCTGTGTTCCTCCCCTGTGCAGTGACAGAACCACTTTATGTAGCTGCTGCGATTCGGGAGTTAGTCATTGCTTTTCCGCATGTTTCATACGGATAGTTGCCTTCTCAAATAGGGAATGCGATTTTTCTCAGTTCCAGTAGCTAAAATGGTGATCTGACAGATCTCGTGATGGTTGTTATAGGAAATGGCAATTTAACCTGCTATTTTGAAAAGCTTTGCACATGTTGAATGACACAGCTGTCTGTGTAATGTGGATGGATCTGCTACATAAAAAAGTGAATGAACTGACACCAGCCACTACCGGTTTCCATTTTACAGACCACCCCGAGGAAGGCTTCTGAGTTTTGAAATTTCTGAGAGACTTAATGTTTGCTGAGCTAAATGCTTATTTAGTGCAGATTTTTCTTTTGTCTGTTGGCTGCTTTGTTGGTGTTTTTGAGGGGAGGAGAACGTTTTGATAAGACTTACTTGACGATTTCTCTCGAAAGACTTTTCGGGAACAATAAATTATCTTTTTTGACAAATTATAGTTTGTGACTCAGTAGCAATAGAAAATAGCCCTCTGGTACAGTCTTAGACAGTGAATGCTTAGTCTTTGTGGAACTACTCCTAAATTTAACCACTATCATCAGTATAATACAAATAGTGTGATTAATAAGTGAGGTCCCAGATTTTTCTGGACATGAAGCTTTCTCTTTAGACCCCTGCCTTCGGCCTTGCTGAGCTTTTCTCCACCCCATACCAATCATTCTGAAATGCTGATAGAATGGAGGCTATTTGTTTTAGGGCATGTATTAAAATTTTGAGGTCACTGAAACAGCCACTCATTGTCTGGGAAAGGTTTGTGGCCAGAATAAATATTGGTGGGTGGAGGGCAGAGGAAAGTGATGTGGTCAGGATCGGGGCCTGCCCTGTTATGGGCTAATGTGTCTCATTCTGGGAGATTTTAGAGTGTTATCAGTTTAACCGGGCTTTCTTGCGATTTGCACAACTGCAGAAGCTTCTGGGCTTTAACCACAGAGCAACGTCCAGTATTTTTTTTGGGGTTTGACCCACCGAAGGGAAGTTGCAACCTTTGGTTTGAAATACCCAGCAGCTGTTTTTAATGTGTCTGAGATCCAAAGCATGGACCCGGAAGGCAGCCTCTGTCTCTTCTTCACCCTAACCACACTGTCTTCTTGCTCTCAGCCTCCGCTCCCGGCAGGGCTCGGCTGGTGTGTGACTGACTTCCACTTCATCTGGGGAGTCAGGCGGGGGGGGGGGGCCCATTTGGTGGGGTGGGGGCGTGTAACCCCTCGGCTACCCTGTTGCTGACATTTGCATTATCAGCAACTGCTTGTTTACACCAGCTGCTGCCCACAGGTGTTACCTCCAAAAACATCTGCGGTGCAGTGGGGGGAGGCCGCGGCCACCCCTTCCCCACCCAAGTCTCTTCCGTTTGTGTAACTGCAGGTAACCCAGAACATACCAGCTGGGACCCCCGGGCTGGCGGAGGTGTCCCTGCCGCTGGCCCAGAGTTGGCATTGTTGACGGGGAGCTTGTGCTCTTTGGCAGACCGGCACCAGCAGTGTGCTGGCCTGGCTTTCCCCTGAGACCAGGCAGGGTACCCACTCCTGCCAGCCACTCTCAGCCCTCCAGCCTCCTGCCTCTCGAAGGGACGTTCTGATTGGCTAACTACATCCTGTCCTGAACTGAGATTCCGAGAGGCGTGTCTGTCCAGGAATGTGGTGAATGGGTGCCTCGGAGAACGTGCACCGAGAACGCCTAGTCGGGGTAGATCGGGCCTAACCAGACAGCTCTGCTAATGACACACCGGGTGTCCCTGAGTTCTGTAAGCGCAGTAAACCTCGGCTTGAGTTCGTCGTCATAGGGTGAGAAGAAAATGCAGAAGCTCGTTAAATATTTCAGAGCAAAGGCCCTGGAGAGTTTATTAGCAGCACACTCCCAAGCCTTGCTTTCCCTGAGCCTTACGGAGGAAAAATCCCCTGTAGGCTGACGATCAAGCAGTCAAAGAAAAAACGAGATCCTTCGGTCCTCGCGGGGGGCCGCCCTGGCACCGGGGCCTGGGGCCTGCGCGGTGTGAACCCAGTGAAAGTTCTGGGACCTGGAGCCTTGTGGTTAATCGTCTCAGGTGTCAAGCTCCCATTTGTTCCTCATGCCACTCAAATGCTTAGCACCTTCGAAGAGAAACAGCTCATTTCTCATTTCCCTTCAGAGGCTGTGGAGGGCAGGGCCGTGGCCCAGGGCAGGAAGCCGTGTGGTCCTGACCGCAGGAGCACCTGGTGGCATCCGCCGCGGCGCGCTTGTGTCTCTGCTCTGTAGGTGGGAAAGGAAGCGGCTCGCGCTGGCACTCGCCCTCGCTGGCTTCCGTGGGGTGGCGGCCATTGTTCTCCGGCGGTGGCGGGCTGCTTTTTCTCGCAACCCTCAGCCTCTCCCGCCTGTTGTGTAGTGTTCGCAGCCAGGAATCTGTATTTTGATGGCTGGCGAGCACAGCGAGGCTTCCTAACGCTTTGTCTCCCCTCTTCGCCCCCCAGGCTGCGGTGGGGGTCACACAGCGGAGCCTGGGCCTGTGTGGCTGCGCCCCTCCTGCGGGGCACGCGGGTGGGCTGCTGCGACCGCCAGCTCCCCGGCCGCTGCCTGAGGAGCACGTCAGGCCAGGGCACCGGGACCGTAGCTTCTGCTTGGAGCCAGAGTGTCAGGATAAACTCTGCTCATCAGACTGGCGGGGCGGAGTTTAACTGGCGGACCTACGGCTTGCTTCTCTGGTCTGACTTGCGTCCCTGCAGCTTGTTGTCTTGGCGGTTCCTCTCTGTCTCCAGCGCAGAAGCTGTCTTTTAGAAAGTGTGCTCGCCGCCAACTCGAAGGTGGCCCTCAGGAGCACCTGCGGGAACCGCCCCCGGGCCCCGGAGTCCTCCATCCGCGCCTGTCCGGAAAGAGGCCAGTGGCTGTGCCCGTTAGCGTCTGTGGTACCCGTGTCCCCGGGGCCCCCCAGGAGCAGCAGTGGGGCTGGAGGGTGGGTGCCCATAAACACAGCAACACAGTTCCTCAGCCAGTGATGCTGAGCCTGACCCGTCATGCAGACGTTGCTCTGGGAAGTTCCCCCCCACGCCCCCTCATCAGCCTCATGATGTGGCTCCAGTCTCTGCTGTGGCCAGACACCGGGGAGGGGTCGAAAGGTTGGGGCTCACAGGTAGGGCCGCCTGCACTTGAACTTCTCCCTCCTGGGGTCTCTTCCATAACAGCCACTGAGCAAAACTTGGAGCCGTTGAGTCTTGTCTTTTTCCTCTTTTGTTTATTTGTTTTTAACCAACCCGGTAACTTCTTTGGGCAGAGGCATTTCTGGTGAATATGACCGAATTTATTTTTAAGTGACTGCATCATGCCATCCGTCTCTGGCTCCTGCTGTTCCTCACTTATGTATTTCACACAGGACTGGGATTTTATAAAGCTGGTTTCATGTCACCTGGAGGTGGGCTGGAGATGTAAAGAGCCACATGCCAGCTCCGTCCGTGGGCACCGGAAAAGCACACGTGGTGCCTGCAGGCAGAATAGCGCCCAGCCCCGTGGCGGCTGGCTGTCACGGAGAGAGGTTCTTAAAGAGAGGGTATTCGCAGAGGACCCGCCCCTTCACGGGGCCCCTGCGTCAGCCTGGCAGTGGCACTGAGCCGCCCTTTCTGCCCTGTGCCAGTGGGGCTCCCCTCTGCAGTCGTTCGTCCTCCCAGCCGCTGTGCCCGGCGCTCTCCGACCAGCCTGGAGCCTCCGCGTCCAGGCTCGGGGGTCCCCCATGCCGCGCGCACGGGAGCATCTCATTGACTCCGCGTTGGCGAGAACCGCAAGGACAGGGCGTCCCCCTCCCCTTGGCCATCCGCAGGCCCGAGCGCGGGCCGAGAGGCGAGCTGGCCAAGAGTCCAGGAGTGTGCTGTGCT